CCCCCCCCCCCCCCGCCGAGTCGAACACGTAAGACCTCAGCAGGCGAACCGCAATAATAATAAAAAAAACGCGCAGGCTTTCTCGGGCCAAGAAAACACCCTAACGCGCACCCTTCAACTTGCTACCAAGCCTGCCTCCTCGTAAACACAATCTCACCTGCATCGACAGCATCACGCCCCCGCCGTAGTCCAGGATGTGCATGTACTGATGCAAGCCAGATTTGTACGGATAGAAGAGGTCAGGGGTCGGGATAAGTGTGCATGTACTCATACAGGCCAGAGTTTTACGGATAGGGTTCAGGGACAACGTCAAGAAGTTAAGGACTTGAGCCTTGAAACTTCCAAAATGATAGATTTTGACGACAAGAACAGATACTCAGTGAAGAAGCCTACACTAAAACCTATGTTGTCACCGTGAGGGTAGTCTACCCCATAGAAAAAAGAAAAACAAGCTTCAGCCAAAATACCGTACGTTGCACAAGATACCACGCCCTGGATCGATTTTTAAAGCTTCGTTACTCCACGACGAAGTGGATGCGGATGCCGAAATCAAAGGATACTTCGTCGGACAGCTCTCGAGGAGACGGTTCCCACGGGTACGTCCATGAACCAAATGGCTACCTCCATGGAAGCTACACACATTTGTCAAATAATGTAAAAGATCGGTTCCCCCGCCGTCATTTTCGGCACCGCCACCGCGTTTCCGAGTAAATCGAGCTTTCAAAATCGGGGTGTGATATACTATGCAACCTACGGTAGAAGATTCTTAATTACGGGTCCTATCTGTAACAGGAACAACTTTGCAAACAGTCGAGGCGCCAAAAAAAAAATGACGAACCGCATTTTGTTCCCGACCACTGTTGATCTTGGCTCTTTCCAACAATTGTTGCAATGAACGAAAGACCGAAACTCTTTCTGATTTTCATCACTTTTAATCAACGCCCTCAGCACTTCTGTCGGGTAGGATCCCCAAACCCGTCGAAGAAAAAAAAAAACAGCAAAAGCCCAGCCGACAAAGATACAACGACGCGCTAGTCTTGAGGGAAGCAAGAAGAAAGGACCACAACAATGTGGCAAACAACGGGGTCGATTGTATCTAGTGGGCCTGACGTCATATTGGTCTCTCGACAACCGTTTTTTCTCGGCAACGGAGAGACGAAACAAATAAACCCGGAGATAAAAAGAAAAACGTGGGCAACCTACCAACAATCCACGGTATGGGATGAGTTACGAAACGAACGCTTGATCGATTCGTGTCTTTCTCCTCACCCTGACGATGGGCTTGATCTCGTGGATGTCTGAGACCATGAACTCGAAGCCGACCGGGGAATCGGCGTAAAAGTGGGCCTTGGCGTCTTCTGTTAGCTCCACTCCCTACAGACAGAGATACAGACAGACAGGGAGGCAGAGAGAGAGGGACAGGGAGACAGAGAAACATAGACAGGGAAACAAAGAGAGAGACAGGGAGACAGAGAAACATAGACAGGGAAACAAAGAGAGAGACAGGGAGACAGGGAGACAGTCAGACTAGACAGAAACATCCGGCTATAATGGGGCCAGTCAGGCGCTCGTTCGTTTCAACAAGGGGCACCGCGAAGCTTGTTGGTCACAAGGGGCGCGACAAAGCACAGCTGGTCGCTCATGTACATATGTAGTAAAGCCTCTCCTCCTCCGACTGTTCCTATTTACCTGCCGCTCGCGAGGGTATCTGAGGAGGCGGGGATATGGCATCCCCCCTACGATATTCGAAGCTCAATTGCTCCCACAACCAAACAACCAAGATTTTGCCGACACCAAAGCGGTGTATTTGCCAACATTTTGTCGAGGGCTTTTCACAGACGCATCGGGCTCTTTGTGCACCCCCTTGGTTGCAAACCAATCGAGCTTTGGAAGGCGGCCTGGGGGAGGTGCCATCTTTCCGCCTCTCGCGGAATACCACGGTACGGTATACGGTACGGTACAGNGGGGGGGGGGGGGGGGGGGGGGGGGGGGGGGGGGGGCGTACCATCTCTCCGCATCCTCCAGGGTGTAGAGTGTGTTTCTTGATTCTGCTGCACGTGTACAGTACGCGCCACAGTTGAAGAACTTCTTAGGTTGGCCGAGGCTCAATTCTTGTTCTCTTTACAGGGTACTGTACCCCACGGCGACTATATAGGTTTTGGTGTAGCACTAACCCTAGATTATGGATATTTTGAGGCTCAAGCACGCAACTGCTGAGTGCTAAAGTGGTGGCGCGTTCGGTCTATGGGCTACGTGCAGCTCCATACCCTCATCTCCTCGGATGAACCTTGTCGCCATAAAAGCTACCAGGTACGCGACAGGCTCGAGGTGCAACAAAAGAAAAAAAGACGGACAAACAACCGACAGGTGTGGGATGCCAAGCCCTTAGCTGGACGGCGCCCTTTATTACACTTCAAAGACTCGTGGCAGTGAACAAGGCGCACGATTTCAACACAAGGTTTACTTACACCGTCATGGAATTCCATCCCAGATTTCCAGAAATTCCCCATCCCGTGCTTTTCTTTTTATGATTTTTCTTCGATTTTACGAAGGGGTTCAAGGTGTTGCGCACATCGATTTCGAAGTACTCCTAAGCAGCGCACCGAACACCAGCGCTGTAAGACGTTATTCGTTGTTGGTTGAACTGAGCAGGCGGGAGGTTGGATGCATCAACACCGGGAGAGTGGACGTTATGACTACAGCAGTAGTCAGCGGTGGTATCTACAGTACAGAAGAAAGACGCCATCGTCGGCATGAGTTTCTACAGAGAATTAGAGACCAAAAACAACCTCTTCGAACAACAACTCGCCGATTTGGCGAAACGCAACATGCCAGGTACAGAGGTGGTCCCTGTAATGCCAATACCCGGCTCTGTGCACACACCGAGTTTCCGAATTTCCAAGCCATTGCTAGTACTTTGAATAGTGCCGGTCCGGTTTAGTGTCGATGAATTAACTGGGCACAGACCGGCACCAAACAGGAACCCCCACTGCTGTATGATCATTGCAAAGACAACCACACCAATATTTCCAAAGCTTTCCCACGGCAAACGACTCTCACACGTTCGAATCCTCGTTGCCAATTCTCAATCGAACTGCCCACGTGCTGCTTGCTGCCCGCGACATTGTCTACCTTCCCCAACAATAACTTGCGCGCTTTCTTGGTTGGGCAGTGTTTGAACACACTTGCGGCTCCTGTCAACCTCGGGCCAATCAAACTCGCCTGCATCTCAGTCAGCTTGAAGACGCACTCCTGGAGGACACCCGGGTTCCGGCTGATGTTCTGGACGTCTCTCCTCTCCGCAGTCTTGAGGGACAAAAGCCCGAACCTCTGCAGCACCCCGGTCAACACCTTGTGGTGGCGTTGGATATGACGGTGTTGGCGTTGGCGTTGGTGGCCGGTCACGAACACGCGCCAACACAAGAAAATGAAGAAGGAGGCGTGAGGTAAGACACAAAAAAAAACAATGCAAGGCCGCGTGCATGCCTATCCACCAAGGAACACGAACTCGGCAACAACCGAGCAAGCAGACGCTTGACGGTGGGCGGCGTTGACTCTCCTCCATAGAGCCTACGACGCTAAGCGTGGTTTGTGTCCCCTCAAGCTCTCTCGCGTGACTTCCGATTTTTGCATCGGTCCCGGCCTTGAAGAAGCACGAGGGCCTAGGTTACGTAAGCTACCACCCCCCTGACCCCGAATCTTGCCTTCCTATCTCTAGGCTAACACTGCCCCCGACCCTTCGCCGAACCTGACCATACACCTACCATTGTGAATTAGGGGGTTCCGTGATTCATTTTGCCCAAAAACGTTGCGTTTTGCCAAAATGAAAAAAACAACTCTACAGCTATCGGCGTAGCTCGACGAGACGATCACGACTATCGTTGTTTCGCATTTTTTTAACTTTTTCGTTAAAAAGTTATCGCACAAAACGTGAATCGACAAATTGTTTTGCTGTCCATGGACGGTTCCCTTACATCTTCCTTCCAGAACGTGGCGGAGTTGACGTGGGCTCCGGTCACCAGGTTTAGGAACCTCACCACTGTTTCATCCAATAGGAAGACAGGGGGGTTAGGCGCAGGCTTAGGCTTGAGCTTAAGACTCCGGAGGACTAAGCTTACAACCAGGAGGCTTATCTTAGGCTTACGCTCAGGGGGCCTAGGGTTAGGCTGGGGGTCATACGTACTCCGCTCAGGCTGAGGAAACGCAAATCTGTTCCATCCAACACGAAGACAGAGCGGCTTAGACTCAGGAGGCTTAGGGATAAGCTGCAGGGCATGCTCCGTTCGGGTTGAGGAAACACAAATCTGTTCCATCTAACGCGAAGACACCGTGGTTGGGCTTAGGCCTAGGCTTGACGGCTACATGCGTCGCCCAAGCTCTTTTCCTTCACTGTCGATAACTCGACCCCGAATGGAGGGCGGAGACCTGCCGTGTACAAACAACGATGTTTCTCTCCCCCACACACTGCTGCCATGCACTACAAAACACGCCACTCTCAACTAGGAGTTTTCCCAAAGTTTTGGAAGTGTTTCCAAACCAAGGAACTGTGCGAAGCGAGTTCGAAAGCAATCGAAGCACTTGGAAACCGTATACAACTTTTGAAGCTACATACGTACCGTTCCACATTTTTTGGGCCCTATGCATACCTAAGAGGAGTTCCAACAATTAGAAATTTGGAAAAAAGCAGTAACGTTTAAAACGCCCCTTAGCCCGAGGATCGTTTTCATAGCCCTCTGTGGTGTGTAGCCCAACAGACAATATTGACGTTTAGTGGCCAAGTTTTAATATAGCTACATCCTACATTGAAACTGGAGGTTCATTAACCCCCAGGGAGGCGTCTCACCAAGCATGTGCATGCCCTGCTCGCTCGTTGACCGCTCTGCCTTCATCCACGTTCGCTGAAAACATCTAAGGATGTTTTTCAGCGTACGCGCGATCATCTCAGTCAGCATCATGTCCTCCAGCAACCTGTCCGATAATATTTTGGCGGGGGGCGGGCGGGCGAAGGAACAGACACACGCGACAAAAAAGCACCGTCATCGTGAGTAAGTGAACAGCAAGGGGGCGGTTGTAAATGGATGAAAAAACACCAACAATAGTAAGAGTGTCCGCGAGAGCCTTGTCGTGTAACCGGCACAACGCAGCAAGCCGACAGAATAGAAACATGCTGTAAGGAAGTCAACACATCCCTTTCGACTGGTATTA